CGGCCTTCACCTTAAACAATTAGACTAGCAAAACTTACATATAATATAAAGCTGTTAGCATTGTATAATGTCATATAACAAATTTGGTACCATCGGCTGCCAGCAATGCAGTGTTAGGTAATAGGTTCATCCCCAGAAAATATCTGTAGACTAAAATGACCCAGGCCTATATAAATAATTGGACCCCATATCTGATTACTAAGATGCCTGCATGTGATACAGTTCGTACTGTACACAGCTTCCCACGACAAAACAGTAATTTAACATAAGATGCACCAGCTAGATCAACTCTTAAATTTATCATAATAAGTTATATTTTTCAAACAGGCAGAGGTTTTAAGCTTGTTGAGTCACCGAAATATCATTCAGTTTTATGGAGTGCTTAATTCCTCACCAAACTATGGCCTGGTTACAGGTAATTACAATCTAAACTACTGTGAAAACCTAAAACGACATTCACAAAGTAACAGCAGTTCAAAATCTTCAGTTGCAAAAGGAAAAAAATTGAAATCTGTTTGAATTATAATTAAAGATGTCTTGACGTAATCATGCAAATATTATGGCAGGTGCACAGTATTCCAAAATACGTACAGCCTACACTAGTCACTACTAATTGTATTTAAACTCGTGTGGTAGGCTATTAGAATTTGACCCTATTCACCGATCCGAGTTCGCGTTATCGATATCTCACCTTCATATTTGGCAGAAATGGACCTCAGAATTTAAATCTTCATGCTCAAATTAGTTTGTACCGAAAATTCCATGATGTTTGGACATTCAGATAGAACTGAGCAAACATTTTTGTTCAAAATTCGCAAAATTGAAACTGCACGAAAATATCATGACACATTTAGGATGCGCGAAGTTAAATCGTGTGAATTTAAGACTGAGTGAAAATTCGTACCATACGAATTTAAATCAGTTCCGTTTATCGGATGGGCAGGTTTTAGAGCAATTGGTAACAGTTTTAAGTTGCAAGAGGCTGATGCATGAGTCGCATGATCTGTAGATTGCATCCAATTTTACTTGTGTTGTCTTTAGAATACGCTTCCCTGGGATCAGTGTATAGCTATTGTTCTGATGGCAGCAAAGAATTACAGTTTGAACAGATTGTTAAGTGGGCAACAGATATTTCAAAAGGTATAATATTCACCATATAACATTATATATACAGTATCACTTGCTGTAGCTCAGTTGGTTAGAGTGCAGCACCGGAATTGCAGGGCCGCGTGTTCGATTCCTGCCAGAGGTGCCTGTAGTTGCATTTTTTGCAACTGCTCCTAGTTGGATCTAAAAATCTGTATAGAGATCGAACGAGAAATCTGTATAGAGATCGAACGAATAATGGCATTTCGAAATTGATGAGAAGATTCTGAGAAATAGCTCGCGTTTAACGCAAAAAATAGCGAGTTGACAAAAGTACCAAATTTTTCTCAGACCTTCAACTATAGTCAGTACCAACTTTTAATTTTTGACTGGAACCCAAAATTTAATTGCTTGCAAGAATCTATTTCCGGAGGATTTTCATGTTTATACATTTCTTTTTAAAAGGAAAAGAATGTCAACTTTAAGAATCGTATAGTTAGGGGGAAAATGGTGAGGATAATTTCAGTGAAAAGCACGTGCAGATTGGAGCAAAATGAGTTATTGTTACCATCCTTAGTTTCATGGTAAAGAAATTACAGATTACGGAAATTTCAGCCGAATTGTGCACAGAATACACATTACGCTTGGAAACCACAATGTGCACTCAATACACACAAATGTTCAATTTCTGTTGATCAATAATCCTATGGAAGCGGTATACAATATATTATTTTGCTTCTTTTCGTGTTTTCTTTCTGTTGCTGCAATCCGTTTTGTTATAGCGAAGATGATAAAAATTTTACAGTTTTTTAATAAGGAAATGTAAGGTGATGACTTCAGACAAAAATTCCCCCGAAAGTAGATTCCCAAACACAAAAGTCTCCTGGAAATAGATTCCCGACAAATATATATACTTTGGACACTGGTCAAAAATAAAAAATTGTAACCAGTTGTATTGTACTGAGGGACGCTCGGACCCAAAAACCTCCAAACTCCATGTGTTAATCCATGTTCTTTTCCTGTTTTTTACTTTGTACCTGTAATACTCTATTACAGTCTTTTTATCAATCTTGAAGTGGACGATATATAGTGTATTGAAAAAATGAAGGTATCGTTTTTGTGGTTATATCTACTCTATCCTTACTTTTTAGGAATGAATTATCTTCATTATGAAGCCCCATTTAAAATTATTCATAGGGATTTAAAATCTAAAAATGGTATGTATGAGTAAACATAAATTTTGGAAGTATTTCGTAACTTATGTATGAGATTCGGAATAATACTGAGTGCAAAATCTGCCAATAACCAAAACTCCCTTTCCTTTACATTCTTCATCCCATAGTTCAGTACAAGCAAATGAACAATTGGCTTGAATGGTGAATGCAATTCACCTTGTTTCACGCCTGTTACTATTTCAAAAGTGTCCATCACTCCCTCCTTCAATGTCATCTTGCTACTAAAAGCTGTCATCATTTTGATCGTCTTTTCCGTAATTCTGTTCCACTTCGCGATCTTTTAAGAATTATCACAATATCATCGCATTCCGGTATCATCACTTCTTACCTTTAATATTACATATATCTTGTCAGTCATCCCGTAACATTCTACCCCACCCATTAATGATCTCACCTAATCGCAACTTAATCCAATCTCAAATGCAAATGGTTAATACTGCATCTTAATGTATTATAATTTCTTCATAGTTGTCATCTCATCTGACATGACTAGCAAGGTATGTTTTCTATAAGGCTCTTTTCCACTCATCGCAAAAGTCATTTCGCAAACTCGCCGCGAGTTCTTGCATCTAATTAAAATAAACTGTCGAGCATTGTAACTGGATGAAAGTACTCGCAGCGAGCTTGCGCGTTGACTCTTTGCGATGAATGAAAAAGAGGCTTAATGTATTCCGTGCATGGACGTAACATGGTCCCACAATATATACTTGTCACGTTTTAGAGGGAGTTACTATTTTTAGACTTTTGTAATTCTGTATTCTTTTGTATTTTAAACGTAATCCTAATCCTAATCCTAACCCTAACACGGCATACACGGTGGAAAATGTGATGGAATTAAACAGCTGAGATGCCATCTATATTTATCTATTATTGAAGTATGTTTTCTTTAAAAAATCTAGATCTGTGACTTTGGGACATCAAAACTGGCCACGAACACAACTCAGATGTCTCTCAGTGGAACTTTTCCATGGATGGCTCCTGAGGTTTGTATAGAAGTTTAGTTTATAAAGTATACTGTATATCCCAGCGTACGAGAAAATCCCTCATCGACCTGCAATAACAAGCTTAACTCACAGGTAATGGCCAGCGCGCTAAACGAATAAAAGGCATGAGGTAATTAGCACTTTGATTTAATTTAGAAACATTTAAACTTTTCTGTGCGTTTACGTCTGTATGAAGGGCGCTTAATTGGAATACAGTCTTTACGTAGCCCATTAGTGAATTATTTTGGACCAAATGTAAAATTAATACTGGGCAACCTGCCAACCTGTAATAAAGTAATATATTGGCATA